GAAAAGTAACCAGAAATTATTTATTTATTTATTTATTGTGTCAAAGGCGAGTTGACAGTACAGTTATAATGTATTTAAAAACACAAACAAAGTTTAAAAACTCGGCATTATGCAAAATGTCATTTGACCAGAAGCTGGCCACTTGGAGTGCCTCTGGTATTGCTGTGAGAAGGCCCTCCATTGTGCATGTGGCAGGGCTCAAGCTACATTGTAGTAGGTGGTCTGTGGTTTGCTCTCCTCCACACACACATGTTGTGGACTCCACTTTATAGCCCCAATTATTAAGGTTGGCTCTCCATTTCATGGTGTCAGAGCACAGTCTGTTCAGCACCTGCCACGTTGCCCAATCTTCTGTGTGCCCAGGAGGGAGTTTCTCAACAGGTCTCAGCTACTGATTAAGGTGCCAGGTTTTAACCTTTCACATTTGGATTCTTGCTTGCTGAGGTGTTTCTCCAAGTAGACAGAAGATGACAATTGGGGTGAGAAACAAAGCCCAAAGGAGCCGGCTGCTGAAGACGGCTGGTAGTAGCTCAGATTTGATCTATTCTGTTCTAATTAATTCAAACGCTTACTTGTGTTTACTTATGCCAAACTAATCTTGAATGGATTGGAGAATTAGAGGAAGTACATGGAAATTACTCAGGCATTGTCTTAATGCTTCAAACTATCTATCTGTTGTCGAACTATCTATCTATCTATCTATCTATCTATCTATCTATCTATCTATCTATCTATCTGTTTCATGGCCAGAATCACTGGGTTACTGTAAGTTTTTTGGGCTGTATGGCCATATTTCAGAAGCATTTTCTCTTGACGTTTCACCTGCATCTATGGCGAATCATGTGCATCTATGGCGAAATGCATCTATGGTGAATCGCCTGCATCTATGGCAAAATGCATCTATGGTGAAAAGCATCTATGGCGAACCTGCCAATGTTGCCCTCCTTGGATTGGTTATCACAAAATCAGGACTCCTGGGTCCATTGGGAATGAAGGGAAATTTAGTAGGTTATGAAAAGGGATGAGAAAGCCACGGATTCAGTAATGTTTTAGGAAAGAAGCTGGGATGTTACAAGAAAGAGGAGCTGGGGAAAAACATTGCCTAGAAGAGATTGATATCAAGGAAAGAATGGTGTCGAAGGGGTTAAAATAGATGTTGGGTTGGGGTCAAGAGAAAGAAAAAAACAAGATGCAGAGAGGAATAGATTACAGCGAAGATGAAAGACAGGGCTTCTAGAAGTCAGATTGAATATTCTAACAAGCTGAGAGGGAAATAAGGCAGGGTTGCCAAATGTGCTTTTTGATAGAGCTCCTGTGGCTTTAGCAGTAGTATAACTAACAGACATTCATATCGTTTGCTGACCCTGCAAGTCTATGCAAGGAGGCAGGAAGCAATAGTTGAACCTGTTGAATTATTTCATCATGCGTATCAGTCAAAGGCACAGAAATCTTGTTGAGATGGGGAGCAGAATGAGGCTTGGTTTTGGGGAACTAATGTATGATCAGATGTAGCAGGAAAGATCAGAGAGTTTCTTGATAAGTTGGTTTGGAATTAAGGGTCCCATCATTAATTGTCCAAGTGTGCATGGATATCATTCAATATGTTTTTGCTCACTCAAAACATTTTGCACCAGCTCAAGTTGTTTTTCTGCCTGAGGCAAAGACATACCCTCAGACATTTCAAAAGGCCTGGTGTGGTCAAAATGCCAAAATTTATGAATGTGGAAGGATGCACAAGTTAGGATAGGCTACAGCAGTTTTCCTTTGCCTGAGCCAACTGATACATATAAGAACCACTATAGAATCATAGAACCATAGAATCATAGAATTGGAAGAGACCTCGTGGGACATTCAGTCCAACTCCCTGTCAAGAAGCAGGAAAACCACATTCAAAGCACCTCCGACAGATGGCCATCCAGTCTCTGCTTAAAAGCCTCCAAAAAAGGAACCACCACACTCCAGGGCAGAGAGTTCCACTGCTGAACAGCTCTGGTTGGCCCACGAGGTCTCTTCCAATTCTATGATTCTATTCTCTTTTCAGATGGGGGATAGCAAATACCAGCATAGAGAGAAGAATAACATATAGCCTCTAGGGCAGGTATGTGCAAACTTAGACCCTCCAGGTGTTTTGGATTTCAGTAAAGGAGGACTAGAGGAACACAGACGTCCAGCGTTGGGTTGTAGCAGTATACAACAAACAGTGCAACTAAAAGTGGGATTCTTCACTTATGGATCCTACTGTAGACATGTATGCCTGCCTATAACAGGCAAGGTAAACAGCAGCTGCCTCCTGAATCACTTCCTGAGCATGTGTGAATAGCAAAAGAGAGAGAAAAGGGGACATGTATGCCTGCCTTACCAATTCCCCCAAAAGAATAGAACCACAAGTTTGCCCATTCCTACTGGCTGTTAGGAATTGTGGGAGTTGGAAGTCCAAAAGACCTGGAGGGCCAAAATTTGCCCATGCCTGCTCTAGGGTATGTGCGACTCATCTTTGCATTATTTGGTAGGTTCCTTGTAAACAAGGAACAATGGCATATCAATGCCATGATTGCACCCTGTCTGGTATCTTTCTCCTTGCAGGGAATTTGGTAGTCTCGAACAATCCTGTGCAGTGCTAAGTCAAAGCATTTGTTTCACCATCTCACAGATTCTGCCAGATTATTCCTAACCCACATTCTGCTGCATATATAGCTCAAGCAGTGGGAATGTCAGCGTCCCACTTTAAGTACAAAACGTCAAAGGTGGGAGTGCAGAGCGGTGAAAGGACCAACTTGGCAGCGAGACAAGTGAAAAGGTTCCAGGTGTCTTTGTAGAACACAAGCGGAACATGAGCCAGCAATATGATGCGGCCCTTATGAAGCTAATGCACTTTCGGAAGCTGCATTAAAAGAAGCACGGAGCAGAGATCAAAAGTAAGAGTTTCACTCTAGTCTGTGCCATCATGCCCTACATTTTGAGTGGGATGCTGACAAACTGGGGCATGACCAGAACAGAGTTTGAGCAAGTTACTTTTTGGGAAGACCTCTTCCAGCATTTACTAGCCACTCTCCCACATTACCAACTTTATTACTTAGCCTCATGTCTTTTGTCTGTAACTGCTTCTTGTAGTTAACGATGTAAAACAGAGCTTTCCAAGGCTGTAGTGTGCAGGTGTATTGTGCGAACATAACAAGAAAACTCTAAATCTGTGAAATAAGCAATAAATAATATATCTTAATATATATATATAAATGTAAGGTTTTCATGAGATACATTGTGTACATATACATTTCATTGTTATTTTTATAAGGCACTCAGAGTGGCTTGCAAAATGTTAATTTGCCCTCAGGCTTACAATCTACTCATATTGCAATTTATAGTAAAGGTAAAGGTTTTCCACTGAAATTAAGTCCAGTCGTGTCCAACTCTGGGGGTTGGTGCTCATCTTCCATTTCTAAGCTGAAGAGCTGGCATTGTCCGTCGACACCTCCAAGGTCATGTGGCTGGCATGACTGCATGGAGCACCATTACCCACTGCGCCACTGGGGGCTCCATTGCAATTCTATAAGGCAGCATTTCTCAACCTGTTTGCGTGGGGGTGGGGGGGGGGGTATTGCGTGGGGGTGGGGGTCTCCAAAGGCAATCAGAAAACACAGTATTTTCTGTTGGTCACAGGGGTTCTGTGTTTGGCTCCATTCTATCATTAGTGGGGTTCAGAGTGCTCTTTGATTGTAAGTAAACTATACATCCCAGCAACTACAAATCCCAAATGACAAAATCAATCCCTCTCAACACCACCAGTATTCAAATTGTGGCGTATCAGGTATTGTTGCCATATTTGGTCCATATCCATTGTTGTTTGGGTTCATAGTGCTTTCTGGATGTAGGTGAACTTCAACTCCAAAACTCAAGGTCAATGCTCACTAAACCTTTCCAATATTTTCTGTTGGTCATGGGAATTCTGTGTGCCAAGTTGGGTCCAATTCCATCATTGGTGAAGTTCAGAATGCTCCTTGATTGTAAGTGAACTATAAATCCCAGCATTTATAACTCCCAAATGACAAAATCTATCCCCCTCAACCTCACCAGTATTCAAATTTGGAAGTATTGGGTATTTGTGCCCAAGTTGGTCCAGTGAATGAAAATACATCCTGCATAATGACATTACGTTTCAAAACAGTAGCAAAATAACAGTTATGAAGTAGCAACTTAAATAAATTTATGGTTGGGGGGTCACCACAACATGAACTATACATCCCAGCAACTACAACTCCCACATGACAAAGTCAGTCCCCCCATCCAACCCTACCAGTATTCAAATTTGGACGTATCAGGTATTTGTGCCCAAGTTGGTCCAGTGAATGAAAATACATTCTGCATATCAGATATGTAAATTACAATTCATAACAGTAGCAAAATAACAGCTGTGAAGTAGCAACTAAAATAATTTTAAGGTTGGGGGCCACTACAACATGAGCAACTGTATTAAGGTGTTGCGGGATTAGGAAGGTTGTGAAAGAGTGATATATGGGGTTGATTCAACCTCTGTTTTGCTAGTAAAACTGAATTACTTTGTTGGGAAATAAGGCATGTCTAAAAAGTGTGTCACCAGCATGAAATGTTTGGAAAGTTCTGATGTAAAACATCCTGGACCCAGTTTTGTTTCACTTATTTAGCAGCCCTCTTCTAGATAGTTGACAAATAAACATGGCCTATTGGTATGAACTCGGGAAAACCAGTTGACAGACCCCAGAGGGAAAAATAACTTATTCTGAGCTAAGAAAAAATTTCTTTATTATGTATTTCAGAGACAAAAGGAAATGGCATGTCAGTAAGGTGAATTGCTATTGCAGAATAAGGTCATAGCCTTCCATTTGTATTTTTTACTTTGTTTGGGATTGGGAAACACGGAGCAGTCCATCTCGAGATATGTGACCTTGGTTTCCCCCTGAGGGTTGGCTTCTTCATCCTCTTCCTCCCCTGCAAAGAACAAAGTCTCCTTTTGTGTATCCCTTTATATTGTAGCCTGGATTTCCCGCTCTGAAGCAGACCGTGCTACAAAGTGCCAAGAGAGAGAGGCCCAAAAAGGTGGCTGGAGAGAACTGAACAGGAAAGAGGAATTATTATTTTTACAGAACCGATTTTGTGAAGATTCTGGGCCTGCGAAACGGAAGAGGCACAAGGTAGGAGGATTCTCATCTTACCTAGAAAGTAAACAAATGAGCAAGAATGATGCTGAAATATTTTCTTTCCTCACTTGGATACATTCCCTGTTTCCCAATTACTCTCAATTCATGGTCCTCTGTTCTATTCCTGAGGTCCTTTAGCCCTCCACCTGAGGGTTTTCTTAAAGACAATCTTACTTACTTACTTAGGTGATCCCTCCTTGTCCGAGTAAGATTGTCCTCCTGCCGTTGGGTACGTAGGTGACTGTGGAGCCATATTCTTGATTTGCATGTTCTCCTGCAGTGAGAGCATCGGTTTCCAGGTGGAAGGTGGTCCCGGTCGAGGTTGGCTTAACACAACTTCGTCTTCACACGTTTCTCTCCTTTGCCCTCCATTTGCGCCTCTTCAAATTCTACAGCACTGCTGGTCCCAGCTGCCCCCCAATTAGAGCACTCTAGGGTCAGGGCTTCCCAGTTCTCAGTATCTATTCCACAGTTTTTGAGGTTCGCTTTAAGACCATCTTTAAATCTCTTCTGAAGAAGGAGCCTCCACCACACTCCGGGGCAGAGAGTTCCACTGCTGAACGGCTCTCACAGTCAGGAAGTTCTTCCTAATGTTCAGATGGAATCTCCTTTCTTGCAGTTTGAAGCCATTGTTCCGCGTCCTAGTCTCCAGGGCAGCCGAAAACAAGCTTGCTCCTTCCTCCCTATGACTTCCTCTCACATATTTATACATAGCTATCATGTCTCCTCTCAGCCTTCTCTTCTTCAGGCCAAACATGCCCAGCGCTTTAAGCTGCTCCTCATAGGGCTTGTTCTCCAGACCCTTGATCATTTTAGTTGCCCTACTCTGGACACATTCCAGCTTGTCAATATCAACTGCTTTGGGAGATGGTGATCGGGCATTTGGACAATGTGGCCTGTCCAGTGACATTGATGGCGGAGGACCATCGCTTCAATGCTGGTGGTCTTTGCTTCTTCCGGGATGCTAGCATTTGTCCGCCTGTCTTCCCAAGAAATTTGGAGGATTTTTCAAAGGCAATGCTGATGGAATCGTTCTAGGAGTTGCATGTGACGTCTGTAGATAGTCCATGTTTTGCAGGCAAATAGCAGGGTTGGGAGGACAATAGCTTTATAGACAAGCCCCTCGGTTTCTCTACGGATGTCCCGGTCCTCATACATATCTATACATATCCTGACATCTTTTTCTTCCTCTTAGTTTCCAGCTCTCAGAAAGGCATGGCCAGAAAGGTCACACCTTCCATAGAGTATGATGGAATAACCCTTCCTGCCTTTGTGCACAGTGAAAAGAGCGTTCGATATGCCCACCGGAGCTTCCAAGTTCGAGACAGCGATGTATTCAATCTAACGTATCCCAAATCTGGTAAGCCAATTGGGCACATCCTGCCAGTCTCACTGGAGTTTGAGGACTGGCAAAATGTAAAGACATACCACATTGAACAAATACTCTCATATAGATGTGCTTTACATAAAGCCTTTCTATGTCCAGCCAGTCCATTTTCCTTCCTTGTTCTGCCTAATTCTTTGGTTTGCTTGCAGCATAGGCATCACAAAGACGGTGAAGTGGGAGCTGTAGAAACCTGGACTTTTGCTGTGTCTGGAATAATTAACTCTACCTCAGTGTTTCTCAATTTGGGGCTTGGGACCGCTGGGGGGGGGTCACGAGGGGGTGTCAAAGGGGTCGCCAAAGATCATCAGAAAACACAGTATTTTCTGTTGGTCATGGGGGTTGTGTGTGGGAAGTTTGGTCCAATTCTATCATTGGTGGGGTTCTCTTTGATTGTAGGTGATCTATAAATCCCAGCAACTACAACTCCCAAATGTCAAGGTCTATTTCCCCCAAACTCCAGTGTTCACATTTGGTGATATGCAGTATCCGTGCCAAGTTTGGTCCAGACCTATCATTATTTGAGTCCACAGTGCTCTCTGGATGTAGATGAACTACAACTCCAAAACTCAAGGTCGATGCCCTCCAGAACCCTCCCAGTATTTTCTGTTGGTCATTGGAGCTCTGTGTGCCGAGTTTGGTTCAATTCAATCATTGATGGAGTTCAGAGTGTTCTTGGATTGTAGATGAACTATAAATCCCAGCAACTACAACTCCCAAATGTCAAGGTCTATTTCCCCCAAACTCCACCAGTGTTCACATTTGGGCATACTGAATATCCATGCCAAGTTTGGTCCAGATCTGTCATTCTTTGTGTCCACAGTGCTCTCTGGTTGTAGGTAAACTGCAACTCCAAAACTCAAGGTCAATGCCCACCAGACCCTTCCAGTATTTTCTGTTCATGGGAGATCTGTATGCCAAGTTTGGTTCTCAATTCCATCATTGGTGGAGTTCAGAATGCTCTTGGATTGTAGGTGGACTACAACTCCCAAATGACAAAATCACCCCCCCCCCCCCAACTTTACCAGTATTCAAATTTGGGCATATTGGGTATTTGTGCCAAATTTGGTTCAGTGAATGAAAATACATTCTGCATATCAGATGTTTAAATTACGAATCATAACAGTAGCAAAATTAGAGTTATGAAGTAGCAACGAAAATAATTTTATGGTTGGGGGTCACCACAACATGAGGGGTTGCGGCATTAGGAAGGTTGAGAAACACTGCTCTAGCTGATCCTTCTGTAAACGTGTGTATAGGCATTGCCTGTAACAGAGCTGGTTCTACATTACCTTATTGAACATGCATGAACAGCAAAACAGAGCGTAGGGGGAGAAGAGAGCAGATTAGGTTGCCTCGAATGCTACCCCTGCATATTAAAAAGCACAGCTCTTTAAATCTGGCTGCCAAAATGTGAATGTTACGAAAAGTGGCAGCTGGGGGGAAAAAACTTCATCCTGGATGCACTTTCAAAAGCTTCAGGTAGTCTGCAGAAGGCACCAAAGCTTTTTATTTACTTATGAAAGCCTCACTTGACCTAGTGTTTTCATTTCATATGCCCATCTTGCTAGTTTTTAATAAGACACTTGCTGAATGGGTTTGAACTGCTCTTTTTTGTGTGTGTGGTTTATGAACCCATCCCTCTTCTTTCTATGTTATGGTATACTATTTCTAGTTCTCCTTCTACCAAATGTTCCCTTTAAGAACGAATGCCCAGGGACACATCTACTTCATTATCTGAGGCATACCTATATCAAATTTCATTTATTTCTCTCTAGAGGAAGGTTGGGGAACTTCTTTCAGCCTTAGAGCTGAAACTAATTTCACAGAGGTCTGGAGTGGGGAGAGGCTAAAAGCAAGAAGGTGACACCCCAAATACTAGCATATTTGAGTTCAATCCTATTTTTTGCAAGGGGGAAAAGCCCTTAAGAATGGCATTTGAGTTCTTTTAGAATGTGAAATAGCTGGRAAACCCTGGAAGGGCTGGACATGGCTAGTGTAATTGAGGTTTCTTAMTCTTGGTCTGGAAAATACGTCAAGGCTACTTTTCCTTAATCATTTGTTTTTAGATAATGCACTTTTACATTTATTCTAACCATCCTTGGTTCCTTGCTGAGGAAAGAGTGGATGTGTGTGTGTART